TTCAAAATTCTTAATTTCTTAAATTTTACTACCATAACATTCTAAATTTTTAATTTCTTAAACTATTTCATTTTAATATTCTAAATTATTATTTAAATTTTAAATTTTAAATTCAAAACACTTGAAATTTAATTATATTTTGTATTTTATTATTTAATAAATTTTGTTTCAATTATGTAATTTGAAATTTTAAACTTTATGGGTGAATTATATATTATAGAACTTAAATTTTAAATTTTAGAATTTCTATATATATATATATATATATATATATATATATATATATATATATATATTTTAAAAAATAATGCAATTTAAAGGAAAAATTATGAATCGGATACTCATGACCCGAAAATACGGGTACCCGGGTTTTACGGGTACCCGAATGTAATGGGTCTGGACATGGGTTGGCTTTTGATACCCGAAAATTTCGGGTACTCGATTTTGAACACCTCTAATTATGAATATATTATGTGGATGTCATTATTACCCCTATTAGTTAATATGATTTTTAGCATTCTTCAATTATTTGAGAAGATGAATTGCCAAATGACTTAACTCTTCACATGTATCATAATTATGAGAGAGCATTCCTCACCATTATATATATAGGGTTCATGTACTCATCAAAAAAAGAAATATATATATATATATATTCTCTCTCATATCTCTCCTTTATTTTAAAATACATAGTTTGTAGACATAATTATAATGATTCACTCTAATATATTCAATAAAAGAGACACAAATCCTCAATCTACTTATACATGTTGGTTGTAGGCGTGCTTTCGCACAATATTATCCTAATCATTTGTTTTCTTTATGTAATACTTACTCTAAGGATAAGTCTGTTACATTCGACTAGCACCACTAACGACAAGCATCATTAATTTAATTTATAAAAATTTAAAATTCTAAAGGACTCAACATATAATTATAAATTAGTTAAAAAATTGAAGATAAATTATTTAAAATAAATGGTAAATTATACTAGTGACACCTAACTATTGCCCCTTTTAATTTTGACCACTATTTTTGATTTTTTTCAATCAGGTCACTTAACTATTTAAATGCATTCCATTGAGCCACTTGTTAATATTTAACATAGAAGCTGATGTGGCAGTTAAAATATTTGATATAATTACACATTTGATCACTTTACTTATATATTTTATCAATTTGGTCCTAATTTCAATAAATTAAAATAAACTTAACTCTTAAATCAAATGGTGTCATATGTCACTGGTTCCAAGTGCAATGACATGTGTCACCATCCGATTGGATGATTAAATTTATTTTTAATTTAATATATTTTTCTCACCAACCAGTGAAGGGAAGAAAATTTTAGGCGCATAAATGATACCTAGGGGAATCAAACATAAGGTTCCTAGGTTGAAGAAGCAATGCTCAACCATTGAGCCAAAGTAGTAAATTGGTTCAAATTTGACTGCATATATTATTTATGTTGTATATTAGTGTAAACTTAAATTCTTAATATTTTATATATCTTAACGTAAATTCACATATTAAATTAATTTTACATCTTAACATTATAAATATATTTTATTTTTATATTAACTTATTAAATACATTTTATTCTTGTATTAACCTTAAAATATATTTTATTCTTATTTTAATTTAAAAATATATCTTAGTGTTTATCTTAACTTAAAAAATATATTTTATTCTTATCTTAACTTATTACATAAATTATATTCTTAACTTAAATTATTAAGTATATTATATTCTTACCTTAAATTATTAAATATAATTAATTCTTATTTTAACTTAAAACATATCTTTTATTTTTATCTTAACTTAAAAATATATTTTTATTTTAACTACATAAATATATTTTTTTTTGTCTTAACTACAAAAAATATATTATATTTTTATCTTAAATTTAAAATATTATTATAATAAAGTATAAATATTTAAGTTAAGATAAGAATAAATTATATTTTTAATTTAAGATAAGATTAAAATTTATTTTTAAAATTAAAATAAGAATAAAATATATTTAATAACTTAAGATAAAAAAAATATTGTTTAATAAATTTAATATGTGAATTTAAGTTAAAATATATAAAATATTAAGAATTTAAGTTTACACTAATATAAAACATATATAATACATGTAGTTAAGTTTGAAATAAGTAACTACTTTAGCTCAAAAGTTGAGTCTTGCTTCTTCAACCCAGGAACCTCAGGTTTAATTTCCTTGGGTATCATTTAAGCACCCAAAATTTTCTTTCATCTAGAGGGTGACATGTGTTACTCTCTGATTGATGATAAAATATATTAAATTGAAAATAAATTAAAATAAATTTAATTATCTAATCAGATTTTGACACATGTCATTACACATGGCATAATTTGATTTGAGGTAAAGTTTATTTTAATTTATTAAAAATATGACCAAATTGATAGAATATATAAGTAATAATGACCAAATGTGTAATTATACCAAATATTTTAATTGCTAGATCAGTTTTCCGTTAAATACTAATGGTCAGTGGCTTAATTGAATGCATTTAAATAGTTGAGTGACCTGATTGAAAAAATTTCAAAAATGATGGTCAATGAAAAAGGGCAATAGTTAGGTGGTTAGTGATATAGTTTATCCTTTATTTTAAATAATTTATCTTTACATTTTTAATTAATTTATAATTATGCATTAAGCACTTTAAAATTTTATATTTTTATAAATTAAATTAATAGTGCTCGTCGATCGTTGTAGAATTTTTCTTATTCTAATTATTTTCTCCATTCAATGATAGACACTTTAAACATAACTTATAAAACTTTCAATTGGACGGTTACAATATTTCTCAATAAACTAACTAATATTTGTTTCGATCATTATAAAATTCTCTCAAATAATACAATAAAAATCTTCAAAAAAATTATATCTAATTCAAATTTTAAGTTTAATTATTGCGGAAGCCATACCATTATTTTTAAGTAACATAATAAAATATATGAATATGCCAAAATCTCTTAGTTTTAATCATCTTAATTATTTCAAATATAGAGGTAATTTGTAGGATTTGGGGCACGTTGAAGATAATAAATCGAAATTCTCTTTTTCAAATATCTATAAATCTTTTGATATTTTATTACTAACAACATGTTTAAACTCGAAATCTTCAACAAATACATTCTCAATGATGATACTTGATGCTGAAAAGAAGATAAAATCAAGTCTCATGACACGGGATTGTAATTCCAGCACATGGGCTGAGCCAGTGGGAGTTGAAGGCGAAAACTTTGTGTGAGCCAAAGTCAAAACAACTAATTCTGGAACTGAATCTGATATGGTCTCCATCCCTGACACACACACACACACACACACAATATTTGCTTCCATTTTCAGTGGTTTATAAGCAAACAACTGAGCAGCTAAAAAGTGAAGAAGAGAATGAACAATAGCAAATACTGTTTGAGAATGTTAACGGCTGGTTTGGAACTCGGACATATTGAGGTCCCTGTAGAAGTATCTTTTCTCTATTATTTGAATTCATGATCCTGGACTTTCACTTATGCTTTCACCTCTTTTTCTCTTTCCAACAGACACGTGCTCAAAGTTAATATCCAGTGCGCAAGCGGAGGGTGAAGAAACTTCTCCGGAAAATTGAAGGTTTTTTAGACATTTTTCTACTCTTGCATGTATGTGTATTACTGGTTTGCTGAGATTTACTATGGTTTCTGGATTTAGGGGTCTTTTCAGTTCACATAGATGATGAACACCAAGTGGTTAAGGTAACTGGAAATGTTGATCCAACAAAGTTAATTAAGAGGTTGATCAAATCTGGAAAGCATGCGGAGTTTTGGTCCCCAAATAAACACCTCCAACTCATAAAAGGTGACACCGACAACACGGATCAAATGCAATATCTAAGGATTAATTGGATTGGTGTTCCGCAAACCGGCAAATATGTTGGCTATAATATCGGCCATAACCCCTTGAAAGGAGAGGCCGATTGGAGTTTTGTAGATGAAGCAAACTTGCGGAGGATGCAAGAGGAAGGAATTCAAGGAAACACATTTGCCAAGAATGGATATGTGATATCTATGTTGGAGACTGCAGGCTTTGGAGGCAATAATGGTGCTGGTCTCATCAACTTACAACCTCATGAGTCCGGTGCAGCTGGTTTTGTCGGTTTACAATCACACGAATTTGGTATGTTTCGTGAGGTTCCATCAACCTTGACTGCTAATGACTATAATCATCCAAATCTATCATCAATGATTGAAACCAGCTTCCACAATAATCCATCTGCACATATGAACACTTTCATTCAGGACAGGCATAGCAATAACTCTATGAATACGAATGTTGAGTTACGATAGCAAGTACATGCATACCAATATATGAGGTCTCCTGTCATTCCTAGTCATCCATTATTAGTGGCTGAAAGGAGTGAGGCAGTAAATGGAAAATTAGGATTTACTGGTTGAAAAAAAAAACGAACTGTGATATGTTAATTCACATTCATGACTTTTTAATCAACTATTTTCTATAGTTGATGGGCATGGAATGCAAGGCGGTAGCCAAATTTAATCCAAAGTAACTTACATTTTCAGTTTCATAATTCATCTCTCCCCAAAAGCATTATAATAAAGAGTTTATCAGCTAAATTCGGTGAGGTTGCTCCGAATGCGTGGGCTTATCCCATGTTAGATGCCACGTCTTAGAATGGTTAAGAGTTTAATCCCACATCGAAGAAGAAAACAATCTTGAAATTTATAAGCGATGATGCTGTAAATTTTATATTACAAATTTTTTATGAAGAGGATAATGATCTCGTGACATTATGTGTCGCATACTAAACTGGTGCAAAGTTCTCTTAGAACCACTTAAAAGCTTGTTTATTGCTTAGAACCAGACAAGCTGAGTCGCGAATAGCTGAGTTGAAAATTAATGATCGTCATCAAGCTTTCTACAATCCAGGCATGAATGTCGAATATCTCGACAGCTAAACAAGACTAATTAAGACGACAGAATTCGGACCATAATTCCAGTCAATATGAAAAACACACGTACTATTTGGTACAAACAATATGGTTGAAGAAGCCAATCGTTGCTACATCATCAAATCATCTAGCCCTACTACAAAAGAAATACAAGAAACTAGAAAAAAAGTGAAGAAAACCCAATCTCCCTCCTGAATAAATTGTTTTCCTGATTATGACACACATAAATTGTTAATACACACTACTAGAAAACGCGTTCCTACCAGCAAACCTAAACAGCTGATAACAATCAAGGGTCTTCCTGATATTTGCCAACCTCGGGAATATGGTTCACTTCATTACGTCGTGAAAAAATTCCAAAGCTTCTTTCCTATAGAGGCTTCACCAGGATGCTCGAGATCATCTTCTTCGTTTTCATCATCGTAGTCCGCACCCTCATCATTGTGCCCTTCACCATGCGACACACTCCTGTAGTCATTTCCATCAGCATACTCACCAACCTGTTCGGGTGTGCCATTCACCTCTTCACTTAATGCGGTATTCACATCCATGGTTTTGGTTGCGCCCACATGATCATCCTTAGCATCCACAGCTGTTTTATGCTGCCACATAAAATTATATTAAACCAGACCAATTAATATTATGAACTGATATATATATATATATATAGTCGAGCCATGGTGTGAAGTGTACGCAGTTGATAATAGGAATTCAAATTGCAAAATTTCAATCATTCCCCTCATTCTAGTAAAATACTTGTGAATTTTTTTCCATTTTCTGTTTCACAGTAGGACAATAACAATTAATGAAACTCCTCCCTTATCTTCTCCGATGCACAAGTGAAATAGCGACCAGCTTGTTATGTGGGGAATTGTTTCAGTTCAAATAATAGTAATTCTTTAGGTACTGGTCAAATTGATTTTCTGGTTCTTTTTTATGTTTTTTTTTCATCCTATAATAAAGCGCTGCTATAAATTGCATGCATAACATACTCAACCATGTAGAGAACTGCCACGTGTCAAAACATTCTAAAAAGTCGCAACTGACCATTTAAATAGCAAAATTTGCTTATTCTATTTCTTAAGATGTAGGTTTATCATACATGGTACAAGAAAACAAAGTTTGAAGACCCTTACCTGCTGCAGAAAGCCTGCTCCACCATTCTCGCTTGCATCTCCATTTTCACTCACAGACATGGGAGCTTTGGGACTGTTAACTTGACCTGCTGCATCTTTAGAGACTCTGACCCCGCTGCATTAAGCACAATTTTCAAATAGTTGATACACAAGGGCATAAATGATTAACTTAATTATGATAAGCCACATTAATAAACAGCAAATAAGCAAAAACACATTGTAACTTAACCAAAAATTTGAACAAAAGGTTCTTGCTTCAGTGCATTAAAGGGAAACCATCAAACTACATTAACATAATGAATGTGCATGCATATCATGTTGCAGATGATAAAATATAGAATCTTAATGGTAGCTTACGTTTTGGGCCGTCGAAGATTATATCTTTTCTCGCCAGGTATAGGCATCGCCAGAACAACTTTCTGTTGCCTCTTTCTTCGCTGGCCTCCCACAACACTATCAGACTGTCCTTCACTGTCATTACCACCTTGCTCAGTGTCTTCTGTTTGAGATGTTTGAGCACGAGTTCGCTTCCGTGTATTTCTAGATGCCCCCCCATCGACGAGACCAGATTCACCCCTGCTTTCAGTATTGGCATGACCAGAATTATTCTCATTTGATTCTAAAGTTTTTCCAAGAATAGCTTCAGCATCTTTTACAACTGCCTTCACAGAGCGTGTTCTTTTAGCTGCAGCCCTGCCTCTCTTGCGAACCTGCTTTCCACGATTTAAATCAGAAGTTTGAGAATCTCCAAGCACTTCCACTTCTTTACTTTCCATGTTGCTCTGATTCTCAATTGAAAGGTCATGACCAACATCCACGTCTCTTCGGCTGGAGTTTAATTGAACCCCATGAATCTCCAAAGATGTGGCTGCAGCAGCAAAAGATAGATCTGGCTCATGTTCAGTTTTCGACGTGCCTTCCAAATTATCCATTTGACCAGAGAGAGAGGCCTCTGTATTCAGTTTTGTTATAGCATGAGGCTCTGTGTCTTTACTGGGGGAGAATTTGAATATCTTTGAGGTGCATTTACGAAGCCATGACATTGTTCCATCAGAAACTGGAGAGCCTAAGCCTACAGGTGCAGACATCTCCTGCTGCCTCTCAGATGCAGCCAAATTTCCAACATTTCTACTGATATAATCATCTGTCAAAGTCGGAAGGGGAAAGACTTCCTCATTCTCTATTTCTTGTAGAGATTGTAGATCAGAGCGCATAAATTCAGACGTAATTTCACCACAATTCTTGCAACTCTTAAATTTCTCAACAAATGAAATAAATCGGTTTCTCTCCTTGATAAGTTGTTCTCTTTGTTCCTTCAATTTCTTGCTGAGATCCACCAGGTCATCAATGTCTTTCCGTATTTCAATTTGCTGCCCTTCCAGATGCATCTTATTAGCATTAACTTCTTGCCTTTCTTTTTCTATCTTGAGTCTTTCTTGCTTCAACTCTTCCATTTCTCTCCTAGCTACCTCTCTTATGTAGTTAATATTGTCTAGTTCTCTCTCTTTTTCTTCCTCAAATGATTTTTTTCTCTCTCCTAAATCCTTTTCCATCTCCTCAAGTCTATTTTGCATATCACTCTCAAGTTTTCCTTTCAGAAGCTCAAGGTCATGAAGCATTTGGCTTCTCTCACTTTCAGCTTTCTGAGCTATCGCTGCCTGCTCATGTTCCATGGTGGCAGAAAACGTTTCTTTGGCAACTTCAAGAGCTTCCAGCTCCCTTTTTATATAGTCATCAGTTACCTGCTTCTCGTTCTTTAACCTTTCCACTTCAGCTAGGTTTTCTTTTTCAAATTTTTCCTTCTGTTGGCTGATATTCTTCAGCTCTTTCTCAATTTGTGTTCTTTTCTCATCTAGCTCATCCCATTCTCTTTCAAAATTCTCCTTCTGCTGTTTCAAATCCTCAGTTTCCTTCAAAAGTAGTTCTTCTCGATGCCTGCATTTCTCTATTTCTTCCTTCAACTCTGATTGCAATCGAAGATACTCAGAACGCTCTTCTTCAGTTACCATAAGCCTATCCTTCTCCTCATGTATCTTCAGAAGTTGTTCTTCATTTTCCACCCTTATCTTCTCAACTTCAGCCTTAAGGCTCAAAAGTTCTTCCTTTTCAGCAACCAGCTGCTGCTTCTCAATTTCTAAATCCTTTTCCTGAGAGACAACGGTCTTCTCCCTTTCCTTGTGATTTTTCACTTTTAGTTCAAGTTCCTGTTCTTTCACTTTTAATTTCTCCAATTTATTATCTAATGCATGCTCTCGTTTAGAAACCTTATCTTGCATGTGTTTGACCTCAGCTTCCTTCTTCTCAACTTCAATCACCTTGCTTTTGAGATCTGCATCCACGGACTTCCTCTTTTCATCAATTTCCAGGTCAAATTCACGCTTCTTCTCATCCAGAATGGCATTATGTTCATCCATGAGCTTCTGAATCTCAGCCTGTCAATAAATACAAAATGAAAAGTGTCAAACACAAGATCCTAAATGACAACAAGCCCTCCAAGAAAACTATATATACAAGTAAAAAGGATAGAGAAACAAATTATGAACATAAACTACTAGAGGTCAGCATTTTCGGGTTCAACCAATTTAACGGACTGATCCAATCAAATTTGGTTCATTAGGTTTAGAAATTAATCAGTTTCAAATTTGGTTTATTCAATTAGTTTAGTTGGTTAATGGTTTTTAAAATTTATAGCCAAATAGACTGAATGTACCAAACTTTATAGTTTTTATCTTTTAATACAATCTATATAATATAAATGAAATATATTTAGAAAATAATTATGTATAAGATACCATAATTTTGTATTATAGTATAAATATTTTATTTTATAAATAATTAAAACTGGTAAAATAGAACAAATCAACTGACATAAGCTGGTTTCGGGGTTTTTTCAGTTAATCAACTTAATTTGGCTAGTTGTGTTGATTTTGCAAGTTAATTCGGTTTAATAGGTTTTCAGAGTTTTGAAGCCAAACCAACCGAATGCTCACCCCTAGAAATTACAAAAAAAGAGCTATAAGACTGTAACACGTTTTATTCAAAGAAACAAAAGCAAAACCTGCAAAATCTTACCTTCTCTCTAGCATTCAAATTTTCTTCGATGACAAGTAACTCCTCCTCCTTCATCTCTAACTTCTTCTTCACAGCATCCCATTCCTGCATCCAGATGATAATGATAAATAACATAATATTAATTTATACAAATAACTGCTCAAACATAAAATATAGCCTACCTTTTCTTTCAAAGTTAAATTTGTAAGCCTGCTGTTTATATCATCTTCTTTCTCCTTCAAAGTTTGGTTGGCGGCATCAATTTTCTTTTGTGTCACTTCAAGATCCTTCTCCTTTAGCTTAAAGAGTCTATCATTCTCATTTGCTCTCTCCTCTCTCTGGTTGACGTATCTTTGAGATTTGGCTAACCTCTCTTCTGCATCTTGCAATTTTTTCTCCCATTCCCACAAGTCCTCCCTTTGTTTGGAGAAAGTAGCCTCATGTTCTTCCCGCCTGATAATAATAACAATAATGATGATGAACTTTCAATGAAAAGTTAAGTGAAAACTTCAGGGGAACCAGAATACAAAGAGCATATATTCACTGATGGAGTTATAAACACAATTTCACAAGACCCCCCCCGGCGCAAAAAGAAAAAGGGTAGGTTGGAGCGTACTCTGAAATAAAGGAGAGGCGTTCCCTCCGAAGCATATTTTCACGGGACTCTAACTCCTGTGACTTCCTCTCAATCTCCGAAGTCTTTCTGCTTACCTCAGCAAGTTTTGCATCAGCTGCACGCAATTTTGTCTCCACATCCAAGGATTTCTCTTCAACACTAGCAATCAAAGCATTTGCTTCAGAAAGCTTCGAATCAGCAGTAAATTTTATTTCTGCATTTTCTGAACGCATGTTTCGTAAGGCTTTATCAAGCTGTAGCAAAAAACCATTATCAAACCATAAGCCCATATAAAACAACATGAAGAAATCAATAAGTGCACAAACATTAAGTCCCAAAAGTAAAGAATTAGATACATTTATCCAAATTATTGTGAATCATAAAGGTAACTCATTAAATTCGTCAAAAAGTATATTGCCTCCACTTTGTGATATAATGAGAAAAATATAAAGCAGAAGATAAAACCAGAACACTGAAATCAAAATCATTCAGGGGAAAGATTAAAGGATATAATATTCTCACATCAATCACACACTGTTTCTCCACGCCAAGGGCCTTCCTCAAATTCTCTTCACGCTTCTCAACATCACTTATTGCAATTAAATGAGCTGCTTGTTCCCGCTTGAGAGCATCCTTGATTTCCACCAGTGCTTGATTGAGTTCTTCATACTTGGACATCCACTCCTTTTTCTCAATCAAAAGCAGTCCCATGTTGTATTGGTATTCAAAAAGCTGGAAGAAGAATTAGATTATTCAAATGAGATTGTGCAACATAGAAAAAAAAGCATAAAACCATGAAATAGCATATACCAATCAAATTTAGCAGATAACTTTAGAATGCATAAACACACCAAAAACCTAAAACAACACAAAGGTTCAACCTTTTCCTGTCAATACAAATGAAGGAAAATGTAGCAATCCATTTTATACATGTTTGATTGTTGTGTGCACAGCATAATAAACAATCTAAAGCCATTCAATGTTCCCATTACAGTCCTTGGCAGTACAAACTTATCAACAATGACACTCTTGATAAATTGGTGACAAATATTGTGGACCAAATTTTAAATTAGACGTAAAAGACAAGAGAATAGCACGATGCTACTGGCACTTATAAATGTGAAATGAGATCACCCAGTACTTTAGTTAGAATAGGACACTTCTCTTTCAATCGTTCATATGATTAGCAATTTGAGGTTAATGTTTACCAAATTTCTAATATGAAAAGGACAAACTTCATAAGTCAACATACTACTCTTTAATGCTTGCATTAAATCAGTACTACATATTTCAATGGTTTTAATTTTGTGGTCTGCTCTCATGTATGACTAATGCTGGGTATTACACATCTAGCCTAACCAAATTCTATGATTTATTATGATTATTTAACTGCATACTGAACACAATCACAAATAACTAAATCATGATTACGTACGGTGGTTGGTTCCCTAAACCAAACACCAAAAACTAATTACGAGAATGGTGCACCCACATCAGCAAACCCCGCACTAAAGTCGAAATAATATCAAAATTTTGTTGCCACCCTAAAAAGACAAACTGACATAACAAATAAACTTCTTCATGCAGTAAATATAAAGGTTAGTTGCTCAGCTAAACACACCAAAATGAAGATTAAGTACGAAATCCAGACAGAAGTGTTTATCTAATCCAAATAACCTTACTAAAGCAATTCGACTTTAAACAAGTTATTCAGCAGCTAATTTTTAATCAACTCAATTTCTCAACTCAGCATGGCGATAAAAAAACTGTAACATACAAAAAATAGAGTACCTAAAAAATCAAATTACAAAATGCATATTATAACAAAAAGTAACCTCATTTTCAAGTCTTTGAACTTTCTCGGCAACCCCTTCGTCGTCCTCTAACCCTAGGGCGTTCCCATCAGGCGTGACGGGCTCAGCAAAAGCCGTTGCTTTCCTTTTCCCCACAGCAACCCCGTTGGAGTTAGGATCCGAACTTGACTCGTCCAGTTTCTTCCCTGGCGTCAACGACCAACCAGACCAAGCCTTCTTCTGCGGCGTTAACATTTAGCGAATTCCCAAATTCGTCCCTCAAATAAACTTAAAATTCAAGCAAAAGAACAGAAAAGAAACCCCTCCGAAAAAACCCTAATATCAGCAATTCCCTAATCTCATGAAAAGCCCTAATCTTTTCATGTGATTGTTGTCTGTTTCTCTACGCTCGAGAATCGTAAGAAGTCGGAAAAAGGGGAAAAACCTAAGGACCGGACTTGAAATGGAATCCCAAATTCCGGCGAAGAGTGGAGTTTGAAATCCGAGAATCGTCTCTAAACTGAATACTTTTTTCTTTTATCTTCTTCCAGCCCACCTCTTGAATTCACTTTGCGCGGATCACTCACGTTATTTCACTTCATTTTAATTAATGGGCCCGCTTACCATACCTAAATACCCATTTTACCCTTATATTATGCTTCTTGTTAGGGTATTTTGGGAAATAGCTGATGTTCTCAACGTGCGTATCTGAGGGTTTCTTTCCTCGATGACGGAAATGCCTATGGCAGGTAAGTGACGGTTTAGAGGTGGGCAGGCTGTAAAACAAGAGGGTGAAGAAGGGTTTTTAGGGAATATCAAATTTTCTTTTTAGGGAATAATGGAATATTATTATAAAAAATACTACTTGGTATGGAAATGCCACGGTGTATACTAGCTGTTAAGTTTCGTAGCTGTAGGCTTGAAGATAAGTATATCTTTTGTCCCCCCACGTAGCCATCATTATAGACTCCTTCAAAAACAATAATAATAATAAAGGAAATCTTTATTAAAAAATTGATCACGTTTCCATCTTTTCTCATTAATATTAATATAAATAAATTTTGATAAACATAGGAGATCAAAGTATTAGATGTTAGATATTTAAATGAATTTTTATAAATCAATATAAAGATATTTTTTATATTTATTTTGTTATAAATGATAATTAGACGATGGGTGATGATTAATTACTAATGATAATCTCAAAGTTCAGTATCTAAAATTAAAATATTTTAAAGTTTGAGGAGATTGATTAGTAAATTAAAGAATTTATATATAATCTTAAAAACAACATTGTTTTAAAAATCAATATACCTACATCCGAACAATATTATTTTGATCAGGTTATTACATTAACAAAAAAATATATCACTTAGGTTATTAAATTATTTATCACTTAACAAGTTAATGATATAATTATATATAAAATTAGAATTTAATATTATAATCGTGAATTAATATTCAACTTAAAATTTGAGGAAGAAAAACTAAAGTTAAGTGACATTTGTGTCTTTATTGAAAGTTTAATTCAAAAATAAGTATTCAAACTATAATGTTTTTTTCTAAATAGGTATCCCATTTTTTTTGAGACATCTAGGTGTTTAACATTACAAACATTATCACTTTATGTGTTTAGGTCGTAATTTTCGTTAAATTTCTTCGTTAAGCGACATGTGTCATGTTCTAGTAATTTTGAAATTTTTATTTTTTTAAAAATTGCAATTATTATTATATTTATAAAAAAACCTATAATTTCTCTTTAATTAAAAAAAACTCAAATCCTTAAAAATCCTAAATCCCTAAGTAAAATCGTGTGGGTCGCGATTTGCAGCAGAAGCTTTGTCGGGGTACACACGTCGATTGGTCGCGATTTCATAGGTTTATCGATCATTGGGTGACTGTGAGGTCAAGTGAGGCCTCACCGACGGTAAATGGAGGAATTTTTTTTTTAATTATCAAAACATGACATGCATCATTTAACGATAAAATTTAACGGTCTGGACACTTAAAGTTATAACATTTATAACGTTAGGTATATTGATGATTCAAAAAAATTGAGCATCTATTTAGGAAAAAAAATATAATTTTAACATTTATTTCATAATTAAGCCTTATTGAAATAAATAGTAAATTAATTGACGTTGAAAAATGAAGAATGAGTGGTGGGGTTCGGTCGAATGAAAGGAAGTGGTGGCTAAGGGGTAGATTGGTCAATGGGTCTAAGCATGAGGGGGCACATGGAATTGAGTGCTGAAGGGGCCCCCACGATGTGTGTGGAGTGTGTACTTTAGCAGAATGGTAGGTAGAGCGGGTTGGAAAAGCCAACTAGAGTTTTGCGGCTCTTTTCATTCTATTGCTGGCGCAGCCAATACCAAAAATTCAAAATGGGGAAACAACCGATGGAATTGAATATGTTTGTGTGGAGTGGTCAGGCTTAGAAGGCCCAACCTAAATGGTTTACAAAATCCTCACCCAAGCTCACACACGACACTATCACGTGAATCAAACCTTATTTTATTCAATTGCCCATCTCATACAACCGACACATTCCTACTATGTTTACAAGTTTTGACCGTTGGGCTTGAGTTGGATATCTTTGATCGAAGTATCAACAATAGAGTGACTAAAATGGATTAAACTGAAATTTAATGATGGATCCGTATATTAAAAATAAATAAGATTTTAAATTAGATATTATAATGTTTTATTTCTTTTTTTTTCACAAATGAATATGCATTTTTTCTCTTTTATTCATTAGACTAAACTTAATATATTTCCTAAAAAATAGTATAAAATTATGGCATAATATAAAAAAATATTCTTAATGTTTGATTAAATAGTCATTTTGACCTATTTTTTAAGAGCATTTTAGCCACAACGTTTATTTTTAGACGAAAAGGCCTCTATATGGAAACAACTAGTTAACAAACGGTTTACGTTCTAAAATATGAGTTTTTTACTTTAAAATGAAACATTGGGGTTTAAAAACTCTAAAAAATAATGAGGGCCAAAATAACTATTCAAATAAATGTTAGATGCATTTTTGTCCTAAAATTAAATGTTAAGAGCCAAAATGCTCCAAAAAAAATAAATAATAACCAAAATAATTATTTTAATAAATACTGGGGATTAATTTTGACATCATGACTAAAATATTGTCAAAGGAACTTCATACATCCGCCCCTATTTATCAGTAGTGTTTGGCTTTGGAGATGTTTTATTGTAGTGTTTGAGTATCTCAATCATTGAGGATCCTAAGCCCTTTTCGATTGGAACCTAAGCCCTTCCCGTTTTGTACTTGTTCTTTGCCCCATAAGTTGGGTCATAAACTTAAGCTTAAGGATCCTAAGCCCTTTTTCCATAGGTACATTGGCAAAGTGCCAGTAAACTAAACTAATGGTTAAGTTGAAGGTGGTATAAATTATACTAACATGAAAACTGTCTTAGAGCCACTTCAGTAAAAAGGGTAATGGTGGTATCTTTAAGTCATGTGCCTCTATCTCATATGACAACGGTGCTTGTAGATACAAATGTCACTACCTTATTGGTAATAATTATTTTATATTTTCTTGTTTGTAAATATTCTTTTCATATGTGAGAGGATATTTGGCTAATTCTAGTTATGAGATAGTTGGGATATTGTACCAAAATGAAATTGGGATATTTACTAAAGCCAAACAAGATGGAAAAACAAGTCCATATTCATTCAAGCTAAGAATTATACATATAACGTAAATAAGGATGATATTATAGGGTTTATCTAATTTAACATGAGGATTTTCTCAGTCTAAAAAGCAGCTAAAAAGGTAGGAGAAAGCTCTCTAAAGCCCTAACCTATATGATCACCTCTTTTGCTATTTGCAATTGAAGAAGAAGAAGAAAGAAAGCCTAAATTAGCCGCAAATACTTCGTCGGTTCTAATTTTGCAGCAAATACTCGTTTAGTCATGCTAGCAAAGTAGCACGACAACGCATCTTCTAATAATGTATAGCCTTTTTGTTCTTTGAGATACCAGTTAGAAATTTTGATTTCTAATATTGATTCTGAAGATACTATTTTTTATCCATTTTATTATTATTATTATTAATATTATTATTATCATTATTAATATTATTATTATTATTAATTTTATTATTACTATTATTAATATTATTATTATTATTTTATTATTATTATTATTATTTTTATTATTAAATATATTAAATACATAAAACCAAACCAATTACAATTCACCGGCCCAGTTACAAATCAACTGAAACCGGTCCAAATTAACTAGAAACCCTAAATGTTTGGGTTTCCAGTTAGGGTTTCCTAACCCTAAACATCATCAGCCGCCTCATCACAGCCGTTGGATCTGGCACGATCCAACGGTCCACATGGCTCAGAGAGGAACCCTAGGGTTTGATACCCTAGGGCCACGCGGCGCCGCCCCAGCTTCCACGCGGCTGCCGACAGTCTTCTCGCCGCCCTCCGCCGCTGCCACGTCCCGAGAGCAGAATCCAGAAGCTAGAACACCGGCCGTCCACGCCAAGGCTACGGGGTGAGTCACCACTGGTATCCGTGACTCACCGAGGCCCCCTCTTCGGACCGGTCCGACGGCTACAACGGTGGTGGCTATAAAAGCCACCACCCCACCTGCGAAAAAAGAAAAAAGAGGAAACAGAGAAAGAAATACAGAGACAAACCGAAAGGAAAAAAAAAGGAAAACAGAGAGAGATATACAACTAAACCAACGATCTCAGTCAGCAGCACCACAGCAAGAAAAAAAAGAGAAGAGGGCAAAGCTTACCCTGTCATCGGAGAGCCCCAACCGTCACCGGATCTCACCAAAACTCCGAAAAAAACCGAAGGTATATTTGTAGATCTGCTCCGATTGGGAGCCGTTTTAACGGAAAAAAATCGGAACCGTCATTGGCCGTCCGATACATTTAGAGGTAAAAAAATTTTTTTCCGGCACCGACTGTTGACGGCGGATGAACGCCGGCTAACGGCTGCCGGCCGACTGAGCTTCTCTCAGTTTAGAGAGAAGACAGAGAGTTCTTCTCTCTGTTTGAGAGAAAGAAAGAAAAAAAAAGGGAAAAGAAGAAATGAAATGGCTGGCCCGAAGGGCCAGCCGATTTGGACTTTTATAGTCCTTCCCGAACGACGCCGTTTCGGGAAGGACTATGCGCGTAATTAGGGAAAAGTTAAATCCCTTCCGCAGTCCTCTGTATTTGTAAATTTTACATTTTGGTCATTAAACTGAATTTATAAGAATTTTAATTCGGTCTTTGAATTTTAATTTTATTCATTTTAGTCTTTTTAATTAAAATAATATATTTAGGATAAATGACAGATTTAATCCCTTAATTTTAATAAATAATTTTTTAGTCCCTAGTTCATACTTTTAATTAATTTTATTATAAAATTTGAATTTTAGATAATTTCATTTTGGTCATTAAATTATTAAATAAAAAAATAAAATATTTAAACCCTATAATTTCAATTAATTAGTAATTAGTAATTAGTTTTATTTTTATAATTTAGTTATTCATTTTATATGTCTTCATTTATTTTATTGTTTTTAAATACA